CAGGAAGCAGGGCAAAAGCAACACTCCTTGTTAGGCAAGAGAAAAAAAAAATCATATAAGTAACATGTCATGTCACTGTGCGTATATAGATTAATGTACAGGTGCTTTATGTATATAAAGGTGCTAGAGAATTCTAGGAGGAAAGTTTTTTTGTTTTGCAAAAAGCATGAAATGATGCACATATCCTTTTTCAGGTTGACAAAACTGGGCAACTGAAGTAATAAATTATTTGATGCCACCAAAGCATTTGTGTATTTTAATTTCACTGGACCAAAATACTATGGATTAGGATCAAACAATTACACAAAACAAGTTAGTAGCACAAGTATTGCAATTGTCTCTCTCTCTCTCTCTCTCTCTCTCTCTGTTTCTCTCTCCCAGACAGACAGACAGACACACTATTATTCTCTTAGATCCTATTCGTACCCTGTTCTATTTAAAAAAGTTAATTCAACAAACAAATAATGAGCCAGAAAGAGGGCTAAGACAGACAAGATGAAGTCCATTTTTGTTTTATTTTTTCTAACTGCAGATTGAAAGTATACAACCAAACATCATGATTTGATTTTTATTATGAGACTCATAAATAAAAATACAAAAAAATCCACTACAAAAACAATCTACTGTTAGTAGGATGTAAAAAAAAGTTTTCTTTATATCTTCACTATCAAAGGCACAACATTGACTTTAGTGACAACATGGAGAAGAGAACCTGCAGCATTAAATCTTTTATTTTTCCTTTTTATTTTTTTCACACTCCATCAGAGAACACTGAAATGTTACAAAGAGATGTGTCTGATTCTACATGGAAAGAAACAAAAAAGAACAACCTCTATATCAACAGATGGTGGCTATATTGGTGGCACAGCTTAACAGGAAACGCACTGCCACGGAGAAAAAAAAATAGCACGTTGTCGCTGGAAAAGACAAAGGACCTTTGCAAAGCTCTAATGCAAATTTAAAAAAAAAACAACAACATACAACTGACAATAATAAGAGAACAGAATAAAGAAAATAAAATAATAATTGGGCACCTTCTAAGATTAGGCTAAGATTAGGTGCTGAGGTAGACAAAAACTATAACAATTCAAATAACAACAAAAACACTATTTTCTTAATACAGAGCAACTTGACTGGCACTTGTGCTGTCACAACAATGGAGGAGAGAAGTAGCACAGACAAGCCAGGAAAAGACACAGAGAGAAAAGCTTTGTTACATAAAAAGCTTTGTTATGCTTGGTCCGACAGGGCGATTGGTCCTCAGTGCTAATATAAAAAAATACAATGTCTGGTGCTTTGTTACTCAAATAGTTTTTAGTCTAGACCTCAATGGCACATGCACTGCAACACTGCATGAAATGGCTACTTTGTTCTAGAAACACCACACCAAAACACAGAGTGCCAGCTCCAGGGATGCCATGATTCCTCCGGCAAACTTAACATCCCCTTCTAAATGCATTTTGTAGAAAAGAAAAAGTACTTATAAATGGAGCAAAGCAGAAGGGGAATACCCTAGTGCCAACCTACCAAAACGGAGGTTTTCTTTATTTTTTTTCAAGAGCAATATAAAGTTCTCATCAGCAAACCTGTTGCTGACAAAACAGAAGAAGAAAGATAGAACAAACAATCTGAGCGGGGGAACAGGCTCGGCCTTAATTTTCTTGCAGAAAAACAATTCCGTGGAGTAAATTTTGTCTAAAAGTCTTCCAGGACTTGTTTCCCCACTGTAGCCTGTCTGAATTCCAATAAATGTTTTCCTCATGCTTTGTTCTGTGTCGCTAAATAAATTCTTACAGGTGCCAATCACAGAGTACAGCCTAAAAATAAAAAGAAGTGAAAGCAGAATCCCGGTTGCTATTTCAATAGCATTAAGGGTTTATTGCAGTCCTTGAAAAAGAAGCCCTGCTCTATTCAGGATAAAAATAAAAAAAAATATCAGGTCATTTTTGAGCGTCATGACATCCCTAGGGTACTGGAGACACCATTTTTATTTTCTTCTGAAAATACAGAAACTAAGCAGATATAGATGGATATTTTTGTTGAAAAATTTCCATTTTTAGGCACAAAGATAGTACAGAAACATCGGAGGAACACTGAGGGAAGAACTATATCGATGCCAATGTATATATATTTTTTTCCAACATAGAGAAAAAAGTGGCATAGAATATCATTTTATTTTGTATCTGATTAGTGCATTTTTCCACTAATACACACACACGCACACACGCACACGCACACACAGTTACACGCTCTTTTACGCAATCTTTCACCTGCACGAAAAAGTAGAAAACATTCAGAGGACGATGATAAGAATAATGTGACTGAAAAGGTCTTGCATTGTGGTGGTTCAGACTGACTGGGAATATTATAGTGGGTGGATATTATACGAGGGTGAAAAAGCCCCCTCAGCTCACAGTGTTTGAGAATAAAATGGCAAGACACCACGGGACATGCCATCCCTTCTTTTTTTTTTCAAGTACAAAAACAAAACAAAAAATATGTTGACAATCAAGTTTGATTGCGAAATTGTGAATGACAAGTACTAATTGGTCAGTTCGGCAGCATCCCCCTGCCATTCTGTATTTTATCATCCTCTTTTTTTTTGTTTTTAAACTTACTTTGTCACATACAGACACATTTGTAGAATTTGTGGCGGATAGATTTAGTCCTTCACCTACAATGCAACTGACATCCAGAAAGCAACACTTATTACAATATGTTTACACACGTTTTTTTGTCCAACAATATCAAAGAGGAGCAAGGCAAAAATGAGTCACACCCAGCGAGAGAAAATAACAGGTTAAAAAAAAAAAAAATACAAATATTTGTGCCCTGCTGTAACCCTCCACAAATGGAAAAAGGACTGACACGGAATACAAAAATATCACAATTTTTATATATCAAATTGCCTTTGTTGGCTCTTGTTCAGGAATACACTAATTTCTCAAGAGAGCTTGTCAGCTGAGAGAATCTCTATTTTTAACCTTCTGGTTTTTCTTTTTTGATTACCACTTACAGTCCCAATTGTCCGACGCACTCTGCATCATTGCAAATATGACCTGTCCTGGGCAGTTAGGCATTTTCGATGTAACCTCCTTTTTTCACATTACAAAACTACAATTCTGTTCACATATTTTCAAGTTTAAATTCTTGTTGTTGAACCCTATATAACAGAACTTCCTCTTATCTGCCGCATCCATCTTAGTCATTACTTAAGGCTTCAAAATTGCTTTTTTTTTCTCTGCTCTTCTGTGGTTGGAGGTGCTGGGGGAGACTATAAGCAAAGAATAAACATCCATTTGAATGACTCTCAGTCTCCACTTTTGTTACCTCTTACCCTTTTATATCTATTTTAAAAGACAATCATACTGTAAATCAAAAAAGCATGAGATGAAGCTGCAATGATGAAATAATGCTAATCAAAAAACAATGTGCTTTTGCCTAAAACAGAAAAGAACAGAAAAGAACTTAGAGGTAGCTTTTTTAACAAATGACCAAACCTTCCAGCTCTTTAACAAGCAGGGGTTAATAATACCGAGTTTGGTGACAAGTAATGCACAAAGAAATACACAACGTTAGAAAAACCAACAAATCTCTTCACCATGGCACTTAATTTTTCTCTGTTTACATTGCTTCATCGTGTTGTGCAATGCATCTTTCCAACACACACTCAAAACACAAAAAAGTGTACACACGAGACAGAAGGGAAAATTAAAATACACAAGCAACATGAGGTCACAAAACGAGGTAATTCAAGTACAATGCGTTGAGATCAAACTCAAGGTCAATAACAACAACAACAACAACAGGAGATGGGAGATGATGCATAGGGACAAAACCACAGAGAAAGAGTTGATTTATTCTGTCATCTTACTGGTCGCCCCCCTAAGCAGCTGGGCCAGGTCTCGTCCAATCAGTGATTTCCCCCTTTTCCACCAGCTATTTGGATATGTGATCACCCAGTTAATGCTGTGACATGCTGTGATGCTCAATAAAGCCTTAGGTTCAACTGTCATACCTGTGGCTGTGGTCGCCATACAGGTCTAATCCTGCATTTCAGGGACATCAAAAAGTCGGAAATTCCTACCTCCTACCAAGAGTTAGCCTTTCAGTTTGAGCTACATGCAGGGTTGTTTTTTTTTCACGGTGATGTTTTTCCAAGAAGTGGTTATGTTAGCACTGCTGAATACACTATAAATACTGCTACTACTTAACGTTATGCTGGAGCAAACAGCAGAGTATATTTTGCGTAAAAACCTGGTGGTAACTTCAGTGCAAATATATTTGGGATCATATACTACTCATATACTAGGACAAGTATCTGGTTTAGCTCTTTCGTTAAATTCTTCCAGTCTATCAAAACACCTGGTGGTGAATGATAGCCCTTATTAATTTAGCATAGCATTTACAGCTGCTGGAAGGCTAATTATGAGCTGCTGATAGTGGTTGGGGAAAATCTTTGAAGAGTAATCACAACCTCCATTGATGGAGTTATAGATTTCTGGCTTTGAATGAAAGGCAGCATTAACCTACTGTTTTGACACAGCCTTGTACAAACCTGGCTTTCAGTTGTTCACCTTCATGTTTTGTTGCCATATAACAGTCTTCAGTCTGCTACACCACCTCTGACAATGCTAATGTGTGCAGCTAAGGCATTCCCAGCACTTCTTCAATGTTCACTATAAGCAGTCAAAGTCACAGGACTCCCACGAAAAGCAGCCTTTTCCCATTTTGTTTTCCATTACTGTGGTAAATGGACAAGTCTGTTGTGGTCAAAGTGTTACTGTTAATGTGTCAGTTTCTGCAGTTCATCGTTAGTGTGAGATAATGATAGACATCCGGTTAAATGTATGTGGATAAAAGCAGTCCAGTTATCTATTGCTGAGTAGGTAAACAGGCTGGGTTTATTGTGGCATACTGTAAATAGCGAGCTATTGATTTAATGAAAAAATATATACCTTGCACACATCAAACAGAGACTGTTGTCGTATTTCTTTTTCTTTTTTTTTTGCCTGTGCAATCAAGCCATGATAAACTATGATGCAGAGATAAAAAAATATAAGATGAAAAAGTGACACATATTAGCCTTTGGCTCTCTGGGGAGAACCGCTGTGGGCCAGTGGTGGCTTGACCTTCACCAGCCCTCATCTGACACAGATGAAGAACCAGAAAAATACTGAGAAAATCAGGGAGACAGCCAAGTAAAAGCAGCACTAGCATCTCCCCCCTTACAACCAAATGGGTGGTTGGTTTGCAGTATTTTAGTGCTCTCATTCATCCAATTCAACTGTTTCGTTTACTGCATATGCCTACTGGCACCACGGCTGATTCTCAGGGGCTATCTTACTTTTGCCACTGGGGTCTGAAGGAACTCATGTACGGACAGGTTAACTGGCAGATATCTGTGAACACTGGAGAGATCTGTGCCTGCCATTCAGGCAGAAATGACTGGAGGTGACTGAACAGATACATTTCCCATTTAGGATGGAAAAGATTAGGGGCATCTTTAAAGCAGGTTATTCCAACTCTGGAGCATTTATTTCTTTAATTAATTTAAAGACAGTTCATTTGGCATGTCCAAGTCCTGCTCCAAGATAACTTTGTTGTGGTTCATTACTACCAGAAGCATGAACATTTGGGGCCTTAATGGGAGGAATTTTGGCTTCTGTAAGGCAGCAGCTCCTCATGGCTTAAAAAGCCTAAACTGATGACCATATCCTTCATGGTATCACAACTACTATGACTGCACAGGGTGAGTGTAAAAACACCAAAGAAGGAACTCTAAAAAAAGAATGGAGTGAAAGACATGACTCCAGATGGCACAGATGTGCAGGTTCAGATAGCCCTTGAGAATCTGCTTTCTCACCACTGTGGCAGCAGCATCCAAACAGTCACTTCCTTGCAGCTCACTCGCTTTATGGCGCTGCATGAAATGACCTGAAATAATGACACAGTTGCAGACGTAGTGAATGACCCGGTGAATCCGAACAATGGTAGAGAACATCTCTCCGTGTCCAAGTCTTCCTCTTCTTAGCACTTTGGTCCCACCATCACAACCCCTTTTACCCCGTTGGTCATCGCCGCCTTTGCATGAAAAGAAAAAGAGAAAACAAACCCTCTTGCTTTCGAGTCTTGCGCCGTTGACATTCCTCAATTGTCAACACTCCACCATAGCTTCGTGCCACCTATCCACTCAATTACATTCCCCTTACCTCTCAACCCCCTCTCGATTTTCACACGTACCCTCCCCCTCTTCACTCTCCCGGTCTCAGACATAGCAGAGGTACAGGTAGGTCTTCTCTATGCGCCAGTCTGGGGGGATGTCTTCGGGCTTGTGGCCTTTCATGTGCTTCTGCATGGCTGACAGGCTGGGGCAGTACTCCAGGCAGATGGTGCATTGGTAGGGTGAGGCGCCGTTGTGGGTGCGCAGGTGCTTGATCATGGCCGAGTAGTCCCTGGATCGCTGGTGGCACAGCTTGCACTCGAATGGCTTCTCACCTAAGGATGAAGACAACAACTCTGTTAACCACAGTGCAAATCAATAAGAGTATAACGTCCTTGTTCAAGACTGATGTGTATATTCATCTGAAAATAAATGCATTTGATATAGAAATCAATTAAAAGAGAAGGAAAGGCTGTACACGTCTGCGAGGTGTTCAGGTAGACTCTGTGTAACAACTGTGCAATTACTTTAACAAAATGTGACGTAATAGTGTGACAATTCACTAATCTCCACCCATCCCAATGAGGTCCTGGCTGTTCCAATTACAGTACTCTGGAAAGATCTGAGAACACAGTGAGAAAGTGGGAACAGAGTCAGTTCTGGTGAGAAACACAAGTGACTGAACAATATGACAGGTTGTAAACAAACCTGCCAGAATATATAAGCCACTTTATTTAGGGCAGAAAGTGCCACACTGCACAGGTAAACTGTGTGCATGGTAAATATGCATAACCTGTATGTCATCTGACTGCTTGTTTCTAATGCCTCTTCAGAATTCCTTTTAATAATATTACCAATTACCAATTATCTCAGTGACAGTGTCATTGTTACTGAAAGCATGGTAACTGACTGTAATCAAACCAATGTAACCTTTAATAGCAAAATAATCTCTTCACAGTATATGAAACTCGTTGTGTTGCTGTTAAAAAAGGTCTCTATGTGAGGACTTCGGGGGAATAACCCATCACCACTGATTCAAAAACAGATTTCACCTTGTAAGCGCACAAAAAAATTCATGTTATGATAATCGGGCAAGTGGTAATCCCCGAGTGAAACCACAACTATCTCCTGAACAGCAGTAAAACTGCCTCCCATCATTGGTTCAGCTCTAAGAGAAAGAAGAATAAAGGCATACACATACAGCAGTGATTTACTCACCTCTGAGTAACAGTGTCAACACAGTGCCAGTCCGGTCTATCTGAATATCCCTTTAGTAGATAACAAATGATATTTTAATTATTCTTGCGGTTGAGGGGATAAAAAGCCTTCGTGCCCAACCATTATCAAGTATTGTTACTGCTTTTAATAAAGTACCCAACTGTATCAGGATTTTGGAACTGTGAAAAGATTTTCCTTTTTGTTTGTCACACTGTGCAACAGAAGAAAATAAAAAGGCAATATCCCCATATTTATTTTAATGTGCAACTATTGAAGGGGGCAGCTGAGAACGTGCAGGAAAGGACTAACTTTTTAATGTTTAATGTCTGCTATCCTTAGGAAAACAGTCGTATAAAACTAAAATTGTCTGACGTTAGATCCCCAGAGACATCTGTGCAAACCCAGTTTTATTGTGTTCATATACGCTTTCAGATCCATAACTATTTATCACAGTTGAGATCTTTCTTGACCTTGAAAGCAGCAAAAAACAAAACAAAAAAACAAACTCAAGGTCAACATCTTAGCTTTTCCTGAAGCTTTCCATTTTATTTCACAGGCATCTGTGAAATAGTAAAATGCAGGTCAAAGATCCAGAATACAAGGAGGAAGCGCTTGTGTTTCACACCCTGCTG